ACCATACAGCTTTTTACAGAACATTCCATAGATCAACAGAAAATACATTTATTTGGGCACAAAAAAGAAAACAAAAAACAAATCTTTTAAAGAGAATCTCTAAGCAGCATTTTGTTTCTGCAAAACAGACATATCTTGTATTGATTAAATATCTACAAGTGCTTCTCCTTTACAAAAATACATATATTCTTAATAGACTAAGTCATTAACAATGACCTGGTAATTCTTTCACTTCAATTTGAATGATTTATAAGCTAAGTCTTACAACCACAAAAAGGTTTTTATTTGTATGAAGATGTTACCACTTTTGACAAAAAGCTTAAAATATTTTATATCTTAAAAAGAAAATTAGCAACGTAACTTTACAATAGAGTCTATGATAGTTTTCTTTACTGTGAGGGCTACTACATTAAAAACAGGTGCTTGCTGTTGTTGACCGGATGCAGGAAAGCAGCGGTACACTGGTACCTGCCTGCACACGCTTGTCTTGGACCACAGCTTCATAAGGACACTTAGGCCCCCACCCCCCACCCCTTCTAAAAAAATTCAGCAAAAGGAAAACAACCCCAAGCGATTTTAGGCTGATCCCATTCCACTTTCACTAGGCAGAACTCTTGCTTCAGTGGACTGATGTGAAGCATGGGGATAAATAAGCCAACGCTGTTTACGAGGCTCAATACTAGACAGAAATAGTTAAACTTCACTTATGTGAGATTAGTTTCTTAGTCCATAAAGCTCCGGGAAACGGAAGAAAGCCAGCCTCAATTGTTGACATCTATATGACTACTTGAGTCAGGATTTAAAGACAATTAAAACTAAAAGAGCATTTCTGCAAATCAGTCTCAGTTGTGAAGCTTAGAAACGTGAGGCATAAGTGCACAGACACCTCTCAGTGAGTGTTTAAATAATTAAATTCTAGGTTCAATTTCATCACTGTCTAAAAAGGAACTGCTCAACAGGTCTCATTCTATTTGAAAATACAATACGGACAGCAAGTAAACACACCTTTTGTGAACAAACAAACTATATTACATTAGGAAGAGCATCACTTTTAAATTATTGGACAATTTACAGAATTATTGGACGCTTTTACAGAAAACACAACTACAAAACCCTGTAATGTATATTTAAGTATATTCTGATGCCTTTTTAAGCTGATGTTTTCCATCAAACTACTACTGACCTAAGTATATCAAGTAAATCCAGAGATAGCTGGTTATTTTGTGCTTCAAAAGAGTTTGTCTATAGTGTATCTAAGGTTTATTATTTTTCATAAACCAGACCTAGCAGGTATTATGTTCCTGTACTCCCCAAACTGTAGGGATAGATATCTAAAAATAATGACAACAGCATTTCAAGTTTGTGTTTCTACCGCAGATAATTACGTGTATCCCAAACGTAGTCACTTTTGAAATTCCTACAACCAACCCCCATCTTACTGGTATAAAGCTTTGCCCACTAGGACATTCCTTAAGGCTAAGCCAGAGTATGGGATAAGATATGCATCCTTTTTAAAAAATTTTTAATCCTAGCCAAGAAGGCTTGCCTAGTGACCTATCGGGGCTTAAGAGTTTTATCTTTCAGGTGGCTAGTAGCATGCACTCCTGAGGAGAAGCGTACAGAGAGCCTAACTGTTCTGATATGCTCTCATTATAATAAAGTCATTGCTGAGAAACAGACAAATAATTTCATTTGAAGGAACAAACAAAACCTCAGGGCCTTTATGAACAAGTTTCTTTTAGAATATACTATTTTCTATACAAGCAAGGTTCTCAACATTTTTACCAAAGCCTTTCTTTTGTAAAAATCTTCATACAGCTAGGAACCCAAGAATAAAGTAAATGTAATTTTAGTTTATAATACCCTTAGGGAATAAAAAGCTTCTCGAATTTAAAATTTAAATCTCAGTTTCAATTTTCAAGAGAGATCTTTCTCTCATGCATCATTTAGAGGGGACGCTATTTGTTACGTTTATCTCTTAATGCTGAGCTGTATCTGTCAGATAGTGCTGAGATAAACTGAGCATGTTTGAAAGGCAGTGTCCTGATTATTGTCAGAAAAATAAAATCTGCAACTGACTAATTGCACCAAGAAAATTCAGCTTAAAGTCTCTCTCTGGTGAATATGTTAGCCATTAATCAAGGTTATTGCCTAGCTATATGAAAATAAAATTCCCAGTTTCTACACTGTTAAAACGGTTTCTCCGATGTGGTTGTAATTAACAGTAAAATGTCTTTGGTGATGTCTATTTTCTTATGTAACTATTTTTAAGAGATTAATTTATGAGTGCCGATTCAGAAATGAAACCATTCATAAGAGACAAGTACAGATAACTAAAAATGTAGGCAATAAATCTACAACAGAAATTCACTTTAGCAATGAGGCACTTTCTCAAGTATTGTCCATAAAGCTAAGCAGTTGATAATACTATATGATACAGCTAGTTCTTTCTTAAAGAATCAATTTCAGTTAGGTTACATTTGAATGGGTAATTATTTATGAACATACTCATTACATTTATAAAATGTGGCATGTTAGTACAGGATAGATTTTCAATGAAGAAATGACATATTGTCTAAAAGTAGTCAAGAGACACGAGATATCAAGTTACTTCCACCCCAAACTGAATGAATAAATATTAGCTATCAATGAACCTTTTATTCTTTATACTTTCTAAAGCTTCTTGTTCATCTAGAGAAATGGCCATCTGCCGATTTATTTCCCTATTCACTGATGGGATTTACTTCAATTAAAGTGCTGTCTGTAAACCACAGGCCTCCTTTACATCTAAGGCTCCTTGACCCTTTCACAGCTATCCTTTCCAAGGCAGACTAAGAACAGATTGAAAAATCTTTTATAAGCGTCAAGTTCCTTCGGTTTATTGCTTAAGAAGAAATTAAAGAAAAAAAAATTCCGTTTTTACTATTCTCCAATTTTACAGACTCAAAATGATTATTCCTATGAGTTTATATAAAGAACCTGTCTACTAATAAGTACCCTCAATCTATAAAGTCAACCACAAAAGTTCCCTGTACACCTGTACTACACCTAATTTCTTGCAAATTCTACCTCCTTCCTGCCTTAGAAGGTAATGAATGGAGATTTAGTGAATTACTGGACATGAAAGTCATCTATGGTGGTATTGAACATGGCAAAAGGAGGCAGTGGAAGACGCTCAGTAGTTCTAATAGTAACACTGACTGTATCAGTATTACTCAGGACCATGATATATGTGTACCTTTCCCCAAATACAAGTGATACTCTTCTTCTCTATGGTTTTTACATGTTTTGGCACATGTTTCACCCACTTCAATAAAAATGCTAACATATTAACATTAAGTAAAGGAATTTCATACAAAACAATTCCCAATTCTATACTTGCTTCCAAAATGTTCCCTTGGGAAAACATTGAAACTACATCTGATCAGGCAACTGGCCAAATTTAAAGAGTTAATATATGAGAGGGCATCATATATTATGGGGGGAAAATGGAATGAAAAGACAATGCATTTCCCCATGAATTTTTTGAAGCTCCCTCATATATAAACCTCATTTAAGGTTGTCCGTGTTGGCTGGGGTCCCCAAACATCCAATTCTCATTTGTGGCTTATATAATGTACTCTGAGTACATTTTGAGTTAAATTAGCTAAATTAAAGTATCTTTAATATAAAAGACACTCTTTAATTTCTGACTGCATCTGACAGATTTACAAAAATATTAAATATCTTAGGCATGTCAGGGAACTGGGTTTCACAGTATAACAAAATAATTCCTATAGCTAGATAGTGTGTTCATATTTGGTTGAGTGTAAAGGTCTATTTCAGCCATTTAAAGAATCCAAAAAAAAAAATCTGCATTTTAAAACCTGCTTGTGGGCCCTTTGAAAAGCAAACACAATCTGACAAAGTGATGTTAAAGTATTGCCGTAACCTTAAAAGGAAATTCAGGTCAACGGAAAACTGTACACTTTGGGACTTTGGGAC